CATAAGGAATATTACCAATAAGCCCCCCCTGTCTTCAAGAAGGCACTGGACAGGCACCTAAGGTCAGTACCTGACCAACCGGGCTGTGGTTCGTACGTCAGCTTGCGTGCGGCCAGCAATAACAGCCTGGTTGATCAGACCCTGATCCACCATGAGGCCTGGTCTCAGACCGGACCGCGGGGGCGTTGACCTCTGAAGCCCTCTCCAGTCTAACTCCAGGTAGACTCCAGGGTCAAAGCGTGTTCAGAACTGAATAATCTGGAGTTGTAAGATGGTAATATCTTGGAAGGTGTTCAGGGAAACCTGTTCGTTGAACTTGAGAGCTGGAGGTGGGAATTATGGTTCCTGCACTTGTGGCACTCTGATGGCAACGTCAGGGTTTGGTGTGTCACTGGAGAGAGATGTCATTTCAGTTCGGAAAAGAGAACTAGGGAGCGAATGTTGATGAACGTTTCTTCTTCAAGTTGCACTACCTAACCTAGAGTCTACCTGGAGGGTATTCCGGGGATCAACGCCCCCGCGGCCCGGTCCACGACCAGGCCTCCTGGTGGATCAGGGCCTGATCAACCAGGTTGTTACTGCTGGCCGCACGTAGTCCAACGTACGAACCACAGCCCGACTGATTCTGCACCGACTTTAAGTATCTGTCCAGCTCCCTCTTGAAGGCAGCCAGGGGCCTATTGGTAATTCCCCTTATGCTTGGTGGGAGGCTGTTGAACAGTCTTGGGCCCCGGACACTCATGGTGTTTACTCTTTGTGTACCAGTTGCGCCCCTACTTTTCATTAGGGGGTATTTTGCATCGCCTGCCCAGTCATTTACTTTCGTAGGGAGTGATTTCTGTGTGCAGATTCAAGACCATTCCATCTAGGATTTTCCAAGTGTAGATTATGATATATCTCTCTCGCCTGCGTTCCAGCGAGCATAAGTGCTTCAAAGCGTTCCCAGTAGTTGAGGTGTTTGATAGAACTTACATGTGCAGTAAAGGTTCTTTGTACACTCTCTAGATCTGCAATTTCACCTGTTTTGAACGGAGATGTTAATGTACAGCAATATTCCAGCCTAGAGAGAACAAGTGATTTGAAAAGGATCATCATTGGCTTGGCATCTCTCGTTTTGAACGTTCTCATTATCCATCCAATCATTTTCTTTGCAGTTGTGATTGTGGCATTGTTGTGATCCTTGAAAGTAAGATCCTTAGACATTACCACTCCCAGGTCCCTCACATTATTTTTCTGCTTCATTGTATGGTCAGAGTTTGTAGTATACTCTGCTCTAGTTATTATCTCCTCCAGTTTTCCATAATGGAGTAGTTGAAATTTGTCCTCATTGAACATCATATTGTTTTCCGTTGCCCACTGGGAAACTTGGTTTATACCTTCTTGGAGGCTAACTGTGTCCTCATCAGATGACAGTCTTATGCAGATCCTAGTATCGTCTGCAAAGGATGATACGGTGCTGTGGATTACATCTCTATCTATGTGTGATATGAGGATGAGGAACAGGATGGGGGCGAGTACTGTGCCTTGTGGGACAGAGCTCTTCACTATGGCAACATCCAATTTAACTCTGTTGACCACTATTCTTCGTGTTTGACTGGTTAGAAAGTTGAAGATCCATCTCCTCAATTTGCCAGTTATTCCTTTATCACGTGTTTTGTGCGGCATTACGCTATGATTGCACTTGTCAAAGGTTTTTGCAGTGTCTGTGTATATTACATGATCCAGTAGTTGCGAGAGGCAGGAGCGACCTGCTCTGAACTCATGTTGCCCTGGATTGTGCAGTTTTTGGGAATCCAGGTGGTTTGCAGTCATGCTTCTTAGCACTCTTTCAAAGACTTTTATGATGTGGGACGTTAGAGCTATTGGTCTATAGTTCTTAGCTAATGCTTTGCTGCCACCTTTATGGAAGAGGAGAGAGGAAACTCTGCTCATACACTCAGGCTTTTATATTCTTTTATTTTTTATTGTTACAGTTTGCGCTTGTGTTCTTATGTTTTTTCTCATATTTTTATGTTCTCTTATAGTTTTATATTGTAGTGGGTTTGAGAAAGACCTGCCTAGTATGGGCCAGTAGGCCTGTTGCAACAGTCCACCTTTCTTATGTTCTTATATGGAAGAGCAAAAATAGGTGAGACTCTTGCACTCTTGAATGGGAACTTGAGTTGATCTTCAGAATCCTCTGACATGATGAGGATTAAGAAAGATCTACCCAGCAGATGGTTGTAAATAGTGTGGTGATGCCGACACACTGTGGAAAAAGATATTTGTGTATAGTTAAGAGCATTTATTAAACTGAAATGTCTCTCCACGAGCGGCTTCAGACTGAGATAAAACTGTCTACTATATATTAAAATTCTTTAGTTTAATCTGTATTAGAAATTATGAAGTCACTCGGGGCGGAATGTTTCATTTAATAAACGTCCTGAACTGTACGCAAGTGAAAATAAGATTCCAGATATATTAAGCAAATTTCCTAAATTTGCTTGCAACAGATAAGTTAAATGTAGATATAAATCCAGATGTACTGCTGTAAATCCTTTAGGGGTCTAGTTCCTAGGCCTTTTGTGTATCCATATACTCTTGCGCTACCCTGCACAGGATGGATATGGCGTGTACGGTAAACTAGCCACTTCAGCGGCAAAATCTAATTTATCCTTCTCCTCACTGTCCAGCAGAGGTCACTAAATTACTGCAGTGTTCCTGGCTCATGAATAGACGATGTTCATGATGACTGAGTCAAGACTCAAGTCACCTCTTCTTAGCAACATACACTGTCTCCTTATCACCAGAGTACTCTAAGAGTCCTTGTTGAGCATGTGAACTACATTCTCCGTCATTAAAATGATCTAATTTGAGAATGCCAGGGGCCCAAATTAGTGGTATGTTTCATTTTAAATCCTGTCTTTAGTCTTTGTTTTTTCTCGCTCAGTAGTGACTTGAAAATGACCCAGGAGTGAGCGAAACGTCGTCACAGGTTTTATTTCTAAGGTGGAGGTAATTTGTGAATAATACAATCTCAAAAGACATAATTTAAAAATCGTTCAACAGAGAAAACTTTCTAGCTTACAGATATCAGGACCTGGGTTTAAAATATATTGTGAATCAAACTTAATGTCATTTAACCCCACATAATTAATGCTGAAAAATATAATTACAAATCGCTTGTTCTCTCTAGTCTGGAATACTGCTGTACACTAACGGCCCCCTTCAAGGCAAACGAAATTGCTGACCTGGAGAGTATACAAAGAACTTTCACGGCACACATAAGTACGATAAGGCTCCTAAATTACTGGGAATGGTTGAAGTCCCTTGATTTGCATTCCCTGGAACGCAGGCTCCAGGGAATCCTAGAGGGATTAGTACCAAACTTGCACACGAAAATCACTCCCTATGGGTGGCAGGAGATGCAACATTCCCCCAATGAAAAGTAGGGGCGCCACGAGTACAGTGAGAGACAACACAGTAAGTGTCCGGGGCCCAAGACTGTTCAACTCTCTCCCAGCATACATAAGGGGGATTACCAATAGACCCCTGGCTGTCTTCAAGAAGCTACTGGCCAACCGGGTTGTAGTTCGTACGTCAGTTTGCATGCGCCTGGTTGATCAGACCCTGATCCACCACGAGGCCTGGTATCAGATCGAGCCACGGGGGCGTTGAGCCCCGAAACCCTCTCCAGGTAAACTCCAGGTAAACAAGAAGGTAATTCCATGGCATTAGTCTTGCTACACAAAGGTCTGTCCTTAATATGAATAAATAAAGCCTTGGACTTCTAATCAATAGTTAGAAGAGCATAAGAACCCAAGAGTTGATGAGCACTGCAGCAGGGATACAGGCCCATGCTAGGCAGTTTCAACTCACACCGACCCACTCCCACTCGTGTATCTGTCCAAACTGTTTTTAAAGATAAGAATTTTCGTTTCAGTGACGTCACTGCTCCTCTCAGCCACAACTCCATTGTTTTGCAAACCAATGCTTCCCTATATTCATTCACAAGCTTTTTATTTATTCCTTTCTTCCACTTATACTCCTCAGTCATATCTCCTTCCCAATTCTAAGCTTTGCCAGAGAGTGCAGGTCCAGCATCCCTCTTAGTTTGTCTTCGTAGGAAACATTTCTGAAACATGGCATCAACTTCGACATACTTCTCCGAATGTTTTCTAGCATATTTATGTTTATTCTGCAATAGAGTAGCCAGAACTGACCAGCTAAGGATATATAACGTTGAAGAATAACCTGAGGATTCCTGTTATTACACTTATTGATATAAAAAGAAGACTTCTTTTATCTTCACTACAAATCCACATGCACTGTTTCTAGGCTTTACATTACTGCTAACCAGAACTTCTAAGGTTTTTTTTTTTTTGTATTCAGATTCCCTGAATTCTTTATTATTTAGTTTATAAGAACCATGGTGTTTGTCTTCTCTCAGGATTAGAATCTTACAATTTGTCCACATTGAACTGCATCTGTCACTTCTCCGACCATTTTATGAGGCTATCCAGAGCTTCCCACTCCCAGGTCTCAAGTCCGGCTAATCTCAGCCCTCTGAATAATACCTTTGGTAATCCCACACCTTCTGCTGGTACTACTGTTCTCACATAAGAGTGCTGGTACAACTATTCTCACATACATTCTCCCTTTCGCCTCCATGGATAAGTTCTTTGTGTCCACAAATACATCGGTCTACCAATCACCTTCATTCTCTGCGTCAGTTCTACGGTTCACCTCATTTACATTGACCCGACGTCCTACTAGTCCACTCCCATATATCTGAGTACATTTACCTCCTCCATACTCCTTCCTGCCACTCTGGTATCCAATCTTTCATCACCTAATTTTTTTTATTACTCTCATTATCTTGCCCTTTCCTATGTTCATTTTCAGTTTCCTTCTTTTACATGCCTTTCCAGATTCATCTACTGTTTGTATACAACCTAGAAATTCAGCAGTAGATTTTCCTCTTGGGAATATTAGACGTGAAAGAAATAACAAAAATAAAGTAGAAGAAAGCATCATTTATTTTCAGTTTCTAGATGTTTCAGAGTCTCGAACCTCCGACATAATAAATATATTGAACATTTTACCAGGCAGAATAGCTGGTTATATCAAAAGTAACTGTTCTGTTGATACATATCTCTATAAACTAAGTTATAGCTCAGTTGACACACTAAAAGAACAGTAAAGCAAACAGCTAACCTGACTTATACAATATTAAAACTCACGTATAAAATTTAAATTTATATGTGAATGGCTGTTTAGACGTAATAGAATTGTTTAGCTCAGGATTTATTATCACTATGTACAAGGATTCTGAGTTGATGAGGTCAAGTCTTTGTGGAGTTGAGGCCAGAAATGTGGAATCCGGAGAAGTGAGAGAATGGTTGATTAAGTCTTGATTGTACAGCAAGAAGTTTTAAGCTGTAGCTTTTATTTCAAACCATTATCAAACAACACTTAGAGAGAGAGAGAGAGAGAGAGAGAGAGAGAGAGAGAGAGAGAGAGAGAGAGAGAGAGAGAGAGAGAGAGAGAGAGAGAGAGAGAGAGAGAGAGAGAGGTGTGTAGAGAGAAGTAGGACTAGATGTCTAATGGTAATTTTTTATATACAATCACAGTGTGCAGCTACCCTACTCTGTACAAGAATTATGATGTAGGATCGACAGCTAGCTATATATCCCTTATATTTATTCCATCACAGGTTTGGTTACATACATGAGATCATGAACTCTGTCAGCCTGAGGTGGGAAACTTCAGTAGAACAATAAACAAATCATCAATCACTCTGCCATGGCAACTACATAAGCTTCAGAAGCTTGGTACACAGGCAATGTCATCTCACATGTCGACTTACCACACACAGGAGATATAGAATTTATGAGAAGGTCATCATTAATTTTTCTAAAAATTATAACTTACTATATATTTATCCAATACAATGTGTGTTTACAGCTGGGAGGTGAGAATATTGAAAATATTGTCACTGGGGTTTATAATCTGCATAACGTATTTGATATAAATAATTGTTAAGTCATATAAAAATAGCAGATGATTAATTTATACGTTATACATACAAGAAATACTTACACATATGTATATATATTTCTTGATCGTGTTTCAAATAATCGGAACTTAGATGGGGAACAAATGGAAACAAAGATACATTTCATTAATAGTTACTTTATGGATAATCGTAGATGTTATGGCTACATTACCAGATATGATCCATATCATGTTTACGAAAACATATGCACAGACAATGTACGTAAAACTAGTATCAATGGCAGGAAAACAGTCACGAAACCTTGGCTGCAGCAACTCGAAAATGGAAGTGAAACTTGGACTATCTATAGGGTCGTACTGAACCATAAACAAGTCGGTATTATATACCATTCATATACATAAACAAATTCCGAGTTAGAAAGAAAAGTGGAGAATGTCTGAAGTCAGGTCAGGACAATAGGAGGTAAGGAGATTAACAAGGTCAGGTCAAGTGAAGCGTGTTCTCGTTAGTAGAGAAGAAGAAATAAGTGAACATTTGGAGAATCAATGGAAGGAGGAAGAAAGAAGTATGAACCATAGTGCTTCGAGGTGCATTCGTTGCAAGGAAAGCGAGCTTAAAATAGAGAGGAAGAAAGGAGAGAATTAGAAATATATCGAAGGTAAAGTATTGATGTCTTCACTGAAGAGAGAGTAGGGAGAATTCATGAAATTAGGAAGGTACCCAAGAGAAGAGAATGATCTGCTGAGTATTTGAAATCTCAGAGAAATGTTACTGGAGATCACAGATGCGAAAGACACTAAGGAAGAGATAAACAAAACACTTTTCTTAAAATATTGTGCGTACTAGAAAAGGTGGTGAATGTCCATGTCACTGTGTATAGACTTGATATAGACTAAAAAGAAAAGCCAATCACGAGTCGTAAATATGATCATCAAGGAAAGAAAGTAGTGAGTCAGACTCTCATTGAACTTTAAATTGATAGAACGGAGCAAATTTGTTAGAAACAACAATAAAAGGTTAAAAATATTCCACATAAAGGTTAGTAAGCATAGGAGAGAGAGAGAGAGAGAGAGAGAGAGAGAGAGAGAGAGAGAGAGAGAGAGAGAGAGAGAGAGAGAGAGAGAGACTAAAGTAGCACTAAATGTTTGAGAATACTGGTTATTTTTGAAAGAAAATGAGTTAGAATCTACACAGGAGCAAGATCAAGAAAGACATCACATCAGTAGGAGCACAAAGATGAGGTTAACCCTCAGTGGCCAAGCCTCTTAAGAAATGAGAAACACTGGATTTACCATCTTACAGGCGGCCTCTGGATGCAGTCGTTCAAAGAAATACTGAGAGTGACCAAGGCGTGTAAGAGAAAAAATCTAATAGGTGAAAGTTTTATCAAGCCAGGAGGCAAGAGGATGAGAAAGTATTTAGAGGATATTAAGGAGTATGAAGAAACACCAGGTTCATGACTTTTAGGAAGATCATAAAAACAGGCCAGAGGGAGACAAATGACAAGGAAATGCTTCACAAGATCAAAGTCCCAAGAGCAGAGGTCAGAATGTTTGAAGCCCCCCGTCCCCGCTGAGAGGGGGGCGGCGAGGCGTGGAGGGATGCGGGGAAAGCGGGGGGGATGTGGCGCGGCGGGGGCCGTAGCGGGGGTAGGGGCGCGGTAGCACCTCTGAAGCGGTGCTCATAGTGACGAGGAAGGTGATGATTCCTAAAAAAAAATAAAAAGCGCTATAAGAGGAAGGAATTAGAGCAGCACGAATGGGAGATGTGTCGTGAATACTATGAGAAAGGAATTGGCGAAAGAAATCAAAGGAGCTGATAAGGTCAATATCAGTACGAAGAGTGAGTGAAGTAGCAGAGGAAAGACCAGAATCAAGAAGTTCAAGTTGATATTGGCAAAGGACAGAAGAAAGATTAGTAACGCAGTCCGTGAGGAAGAATTTGGACCAAAAGATTGTTCGAGATAAGACGTTGAAGTTTATTCTGTAAGGTTGTAGAATGTAGGTACGCAGTAAGGTGAGCAGTGTCGAGAAAATAGGTGTAAGAAAGTTGCAAAGATCAGTAGGGAGAAAAGTAGAGAGAACACGTTCACGGTGACGGAAGAAAAGAAAAGCATCTTGTACTAAGTAATTAATGTAAAGAATGAGATGTTAGAGCAAGTGGTAGAATTGTTTAAGAAAGAAAGGACCCAAGGAAGTAAATTTAAGGAGATAAGACAGTTAAGAAAATCAAGTTCAGTGAGGGAGTTCTGAACAGGTAGCAAGTTGTGAATATGATAATGGTATACAATACTCTCCTTCAGGCTGAGGGACTGACTGACCACCTCAAAACTATGTCTTCGAGGGTGATAGACTGATTACATCGTCTTTATATATCTGCTGCTTATCAGGCAGCTGGTTCTTATGATGTCTAGACGCCCTACGTGCGCCTTCGAAGGGGCAAAAAGCAGGATTTGAAAGGGAAAACATAAACATATTAATAATAATATGGCACTTGCCTGTGTGATCTACATAACAAAAAGTCACATTACTCAGGCTGGAATAATTCACAAGTAACCCACAAACTGGAAATGAACACTGGATGAAGTTACCGTCCCTCCTCTGGTGTCCTCGACACTGCTCACCTTACTTCGTACCCACATTCTACAACCTTACAGAACAAACTCCAACGTCTTATCTCGAACAACTTTTGGTCCAAATTCTTCCTCACTAAGCGCGAAACTAATCTTTCTTCTGTCCTTCGCCAATATCAACTTGAACTTCTTGATTCTGGTCTTTCCTCTGCTACTTCACTCACTCTTCGTACTGACATTGACCTTATCAGCTCCTTTGATTTCTTTCGCCAATTCCTTTCTCATAGTATTCATGACACATCTCCCATTCGTGCTGCTCTAATTCCTTCCTCTTATAACGGTGATTCCTAAATGGAATCACCGTTTTCCTCTTTCCTATCAGTATATAATACTCTTTCTGAAAGCTACGATAGTCATTTTTATCTTAATGACTGACAATAGTAATTCGGTTAATGTCCTTGGTAAGTACTATCCCCCTGTTCTTGTGTTGGTATGGACTCGCTCTTATCTCCTGCACTTAATAACCTTTAGTTAGAAAATTTGAAAACTGTTCTACTTCTCCTTGTTGTTGTATGTTCTTTCTGACCTCATGACTGCTCTCTCCTAACTATTGATAATCACTCAGTATTGACCGAAACGTCGTCCAGTGTTCATTTTAAGTTTAGTGGGATTGTTGTGTGTAGGCTTTTTTTTATAATTAGCATTCAATTGGAAATCACATTTAAAATAACAAAATTTAATATATCAAACTTATTTCATTTTGTTTTGGCACTATTGTTGTAAAGTTTACCTCCAGCACACGTTTTTAGGAGTAATTGTTATCAGGGATGCATGTATAAACATCAGTTTAACGTACAGTTCAGTACATTTTCTAGGTAACAATTCAGCACTAACAAATTTTTATAGATTTTTAAAGAGTGGGAAGGTGGACGAAATTAAAATGTGCCCGATCTCGTATGCTACATTGTTGCCAGCGTCGGTTATTTCCTAATACAAGACAAGTGCCTTTCTTAACGTCACTTAATTACATACATTATTGTACTAAAGGATTACCAAGATTGTACAATATATTATTCACTATCATATAATTATTCCCATTTTATAAACTCTAATCAACAATTACCCCCTCTCATATATGACATCAATAAAATCTTTCTTCTAAGTGCCACAGGATGGGTATGGGGTACGTAACAAAGATGTTAAGCTAATTTCTAAGTGTACCAGCAAATAAGGTGATCATTTTCAATCGAATGGCAATAGAATAAGCTACAAGAACTGCATTTTTGGTTGGCCATGTGCATTATTTAAATGTTTGTATATTCTGTCCAATGTACAAATGAGCTTAATTTTTGCAAGGGACAATGGAGAGTAATTTTTTTTTTTCACAAAATGGTACAAAGTTTGGACTGGGATATACGAGGAAGCAGTAATTGCTACAACATAACATTTTTTAAGGAAAATATATGAGGAAACTAAATAGTGAAGACGTTACCAGAAATGAGAAATTATCTCCATCTTATCTCCTCTGGAAGTTATCTTCATTTTATCTCCTCTGGAAGTGATCTTAATATAACGTCGCAGCAAAACATTTACCAATATAATGCTATTCATTGTAGAGCGATGCATTGTGGGTAAACATTTGTGAACCCACTTTCAACAAACTAGGTGAACGTTAAAGTGATTGAACAAACTCCTTGATATTTTATAACAATGAATAGTATTAAATACTCAGCTTTAACTGTATGATGTAATGTAGAGGGCAGCTGCGTCCTTCAGCACTCACACTCTCACACTTAGCAATTCTGACGCCTATATAAACTATTCAGTAAATGACACACTTGAATTACTAACACACACACACACTCACGCACACACACACACACACACACACACACACACACACACACACACACACACACACGCACACACACACACACACACACACACACACACACACACACACACACACACACACACACACAGGGCCAGGGCCTGCAACCTCAACTAGGTGAGTACACACTTGCACACTGTCATTTATGTAGTGCATGTTGTATGCATGTAGTAGTAGTAGTTGCAAGATTTACCGTTCATCTTACGTGTTTATGAGACAGAAAGAAAAGACCAGCAATCCTGCCAGAACGTAGAACATCTAACCTGTATCTGTGTCACACTCGTATGGCAGGACGGTAGTACCTCCCTGGGTGGCTGCTGTCTACCAACCTACTACCTATGAAGGAGGGGTAGGGGATGCTGCAGATCAGAGGGTCAATTGAATTGTGTTGTGCGCACACTTCTGGCAAGGCAGCTATTGCACGGATGATGGTGAGTGTTTTTTTTTTTTACCTTAAATTTAAATAAATGTTTTGTGCGGCACAGATGATTTCCGTGAGAATCTGAATTACATGAGAAACTGATTTTTGTGAGAGTTTTGAGAAACTGAGTTTTGTGAGAAACTGCTTTTTGTGAGACATTTTGTGAGAAAAATGTCTCACAAAAAGCAGTTTCTCATACAAATCAGTTTCTCAAAATTTTCACAAAAATCAGTTTCTCACGTAAATCAGTATGAGGAACTGATTTTTGTTAGAAAATTATTTTTTTGTGAGAAATTAATTTTCGTGAGAAAAATTATTTTTGTGAGAAACTGATTTTTGTGAGAAAAATTATTTTGTGAGCATTTGATTTTCATGAAATGTCTGATTATTATAAGAAGTCTCTGAATTGTGTAAAGTGGTGAAGGTCGGTACGACCTCTACGGGTTTTGCACAATATTATTATTATTATTATTATTATTATTATTATTATTATTATTATTATTATTATTATTATTTATCATCATTTTTCTTATAATTTTAAATCCTGAGAGATTCTATTTTAATTTTTCAAAGCACCAGGTTTCAAGCTGAAGACTTTTCAGAGTCCTCAACCATCCCGTAATGTTTATCGGTCTGTGGTGATGCGTTCGTCTCTCAATCGATTGCTACCCGAGTTCGATTCTCGGGCAGCACGAGGATGCATCAGGGTGGATGCATCCCCAAGGTGAGGTGTCCTGGAAGCCTCACAAAGGATACAGTCCCAGGCTGAGACGTCCTTGGTGCTTGGTACCCCAGGGAGTAAGCGCCTTCAACCAATGATGGGTCTGAAGGTGCCGCGGATGACAGTGGAGCATGTGGGGCAGGTGTCACGAGGTCTGGCACACGGGGCACACAGGTGTAGGTGAGAGCAGGGTTGCAGCAGCACAGCAACACGGTTCTTCTTACACTCACGACACACAAGACGACCTTCTTCCTGCTTCACTCGTCGTCTCAGCTCCAACACTGTCAGGGCAAGAAGGAAGATGTGTTACATGAGTTACAGAAGACACTGTTGGAACCTCCACTAGAGGACACTGCTGGAGGCTCCACCAGCAGGGCCGGATTACCGCATAGGCAAACTAGGCATTTGCCTAGGGCCCCACGCATTTGGGGGCCCCGTGGTCCAAGGGGTTCAGGGGCTCATCCAAGACTGCGCACATGGTGCAAGTGCAAAGGGGTCCCTACCTAAAAAGTTCAAGTGTTTGGAGAGTAAAATTGATTTTTAAAAATTAATCAAAACAAAAATAAATAATGAAATAAAATAAAATAAAAATAAATAAACCTAACCATAGATGGCAACACTCAACACGCCTTTGTTTACATCAGAACAGCTGTGTTTTCCCGCTAATGGGTGAGTATGGGAGATTCCTCTCCAATTTTCTGTAGTAATTACACGTTATCTAGACTTGTACTGTGAAAAATTAACTGAAGTGTTGTTGATAGACATTGATGTGTATAGATAAATGTTTGTTTTCGCCTCTAAATGTTAAGGGAGGTACCTGATAGGGTTACTTGACCAGTAAAGACGCATGGACCAGTAAAGACGCATTTTTGGTAAAAATACTATAAAGAAAAACCTAAAAACGCAAACTGACTTCCGTTTGTAGGTTTTAAAAGCACTTTGTCCTGTCTTTAAGTCTTTATCATTTCAATAACAGATCTCAATTGATTGATGTTCTACATCACTTCCGTCGCAAATGCTTAGTTTTCAAGTTGCGACGAAAGTGATGTAGAACATCAATTAATTTACTACATATTTCCCCAGAAACACATAAGCCACATCAGAAAATCGTTGGTTGGGTGAAACTGAAAATTGTCCCTGCATTCTTTAATTCTCATGTCCTTATCTATGGTGGTAGGCCATATATCATGCAAAACATAATGATTAGTTTAGTTATGAAAATGGTAATATAAATATCATTGTGCATTGTTCTTGGACTCAGTATGATTTCTGTTTAAGTAAATTGGAGATCAAGGAGGATGAATTAGTAAAATATTCGTAGCCCAAATCACTAACCTAATCTATGGTAAAAGTTCTGTATATGACTCCTTTCTGGTAAAGTTTTGAATTTTGATAGTCTTATGCATGATGCAATGATAACAATAATGGTCAGTGATTTATAAAGGGAATAATAGTGCTGTAGTGGTTATGCTGAATATAATAGGTACATGATGTCACTACTTTAATAGCCTAATCTAGTAATACTATGCTGTCTTGAGTTTATTCTCTTTAAAATGCATGATTTAGCAAGATAGTTATAATGACTGTTGGTAAATGGTTTTGGTTGTCTTGATGTACTTTCCCTATTAAATTTAATCTAAATAGCCAGAATGTATTTAATTGGACCTTAAACAGGCTCACACCGACCCCCCCCCACCCCCAAGCTGGAAGGGGTCGCTTCGCTTACCCGTAACTCAAAGGGGCCCCGCCAATCTGAATAGCCTAGGGCCCGGAGACTTCTTAATCCGGCCCTGTCCACCAGAGGACACCGTTGGAGCCTCCACTAGAGGACACTGCTGGAGCCTCCACCAGAGAACACTGTTGGAGCCCCCACTAGAGGACACTACTGTTCAAACCTCCTCCTTCATAGTTTACTCACCCTCCTGGTTCAAGGTTCACTCACCCTCCTGGTTCAAGGTTCACTCATCCTCCTGGTTCAAGGTTCACTCACCCTCCTGGTTCAAGGTTCACTCACCCTCCTGGTTCAAGGTTCACTCACTCTCCTGGTTCAAGGTTTACTCTCCCTCCTGGTTCAAGGTTTACTCACCCTCCTGCTTTAAGGTTCACTCACACTCCTGGTTCAAAGTTCGCTCACCCTCTTGTCTCAAGGTTCACTCATCCTTCTGGTTCAAGGTTCACTCACCCTCCTTGTTCAAGGATCACTCACACTCCTGGTTCAAGGTTCACTTTCCCTCCTGGTTCAAAGTTCGCTCACCCTCCTGCTTCAAGGTTTACTGACCCTTCTGGTTCAAGTTTCACTCACACTCCTGGCTCAAGGTTCACTCACCCTCCTGCTGCAGAGCTCGGCACTTGGCTGCGGCCAGGGTAGCAGCAGACTCCTTCCCCGCCTTGGTCGGGTTCTTCGGCTCCAACGATGAACTCTGTGAGTAAAATTCTCCAGTGAGAGTGAATCTGAGGAAACGAACCCTACTGAACCATAAATTATCCTCTCATATCTCTCTCACAAAGATACTGACCCCTACAATATCCTCTCACACCTACCTCACAAAGATACTGACCCCTACAATATCCTCTCATACCTCCCTCACAAGGTACTGGTCCCTACAATATCCTCTCATACCTCCCTCACAAAGGTACTGACCCCTACAATATCCTCTCACACCACCCTCACAAAGATATTGAACCCTACAATATTCTCTCATACCTTCCTCACAAAGGTATTGACCCCTATAATATCCTCTCACACCTCCCTCAGAAAGGTACTGACCCCTACAATATCCTCTCATACCTCCCTCACAAGGGTACTGAACCCTACAATATCTCTCATACCTCCCTCACAAAGATACTGACCCCTACAATATCCTCTCATACCTCCCTCGCAAAGGTGCTGACCCCTACAATATCCTCTCATACCATCCTCACAAAGGTACTGACCCCTACAATATCCTCTCATACCTCCCTCACAAAGGTACTGACCCCTACAATATCCTCTCATACCTTCCTCACAAACGTACTGACCCCTACAATATCCTCTCATACCTCCCTCACAAAGGTACTGATCCCTACAATGTCCTCTCATACCTTCCTCACAAAAGTACTGACCCCTACAATATCCTCTCATACCTCCCTCACAAAGGTACTGACCCCTACAATATTCTCTCATACCTCCCTCAGAAAGGTACTGGCCCCTACAATATCCTCTCATACCTCCCTCACAAAGGTACTGACCCCTACAATATCCTCTCATACCTCCCTCACAAAGGTACTGACCCCTACAATATCCTCTCATACCTTCCTCACAAACGTACTGACCCCTACAATATCCTCTCATACCTCCCTCACAAAGGTACTGATCCCTACAATGTCCTCTCATACCTTCCTCACAAAGGTACTGACCCCTACAATATCCTCTCATACCTTCCTCACAAAGGTACTGACCCCTACAATATCCTCTCATACCTCCCTCACAAAGGTACTGATCCCTACAATATCCTCTCATACCTTCCTCAAAAAGGTACTGATCCCTACAATATCCTCTCATACTTCCCTCACAAAGGTACTGACCCCTACAATATCCTCTCATACCTTCCTCACAAAGGTACTGACCCCTACAATATCCTCTCATACCTTCCTCACAAAGGTACTGACCCCTACAATATCCTCTCATACTTCCCTCACAAAGGTACTGATCCCTACAATATCCTCTCATACTTCCCTCACAAAGGTACTGAACCCTACAATATCCTCTCATACCTTCCTCACAAAGGTACTGACCCCTACAATATCCTCTCATACCTCCCTCACAAAGGTACTGAACCCTACAATATCCTCTCATACCTCCCTCACAAAGGTACTGACCCCTACAATATCCTCTCATACCTTCCTCACAAAGGTACTGACCCCTACAATATCCTCTCATACCTCCCTCACAAAGGTACTGATCCCTACAATATCCTCTCATACCTCCCTCACAAAGGTACTGAACCCTACAATATCCTCTCATACCTCCCTCACAAAGGTACTGAACCCTACAATATCCTCTCATACCTCCCTCACAAAGGTACTGAACCCTACAATATCCTGTCATACCTCCCTCACAAAGGTACTGAACCCTACAATATCCTCTCATACCTCCCTCACAAAGGTACTGACCCCTATAATATCCTCTCATACCTTCCTCACAAAGGTACTGACCCCTACAATATCCTCTCATACCTCCCTCACAAAGGTACTGACCCCTACAGTATCCTCTCATACCTTTCTCACAAAGGTACTGATCCCTACAATATCCTCTCATACCTCCCTCACAAAGGTACTGAACCCTACAATATCCTCTCATACCTCCCTCACAAGGTACTGAACCCTACAATATCCTCTCATACCTCCCTCACAAAGGTACTGAACCCTACAATATCCTCTCATACCTCCCTCACAAAGGTACTGAACCCTACAATATCCTCTCATACCTCCCTCACAAGGTACTGAACCGTACAATATCCTCTCATACCTCCCTCACAAAGGTACTGAACCCTACAATATACTCTCATACCTCCCTCACAAAGGTACTGACCCCTACAATATCCTCTCATACCTTCCTCACAAAGGTACTGACCCCTACAATATCCTCTCATACCTCCCTCACAAAGGTACTGATCCCTACAATATCGTCTCATACCTCCCTCACAAAGGTACTGAACCCTACAATATCCTCTCATACCTCCCTCACAAAGGTACTGAACCCTACAATATCCTCTCATACTTCCCTCACAAAGGTACTGAACCCTACAATATCCTCTCACACCTCCCTCACAAAGGTACTGAACCCTACAATATCCTCTCATACCTTCCTCACAAAGGTACTGACCCCTACAATATCCTCTCATACCTCCCTCACAAAGGTACTGAACCCTACAATATCCTCTCATACCTCCCTCACAAAGGTACTGACCCCTACAATATCCTCTCATACCTTCCTCACAAAGGTACTGATCCCTACAATATCCTCTCATACCTCCCTCACAAAGGTACTGACACCTACAATATCCTCTCATACCTTCCTCACAAAGGTACTGATCCCTACAATATCCTCTCATACCTCCCTCACAAAGGTACTGAACCTTACAATATCCTCTCATACCTCCCTCACAAAGGTACTGAGCCCTACAATATCCTCTCATACCTCCCTCACAAAGGTACTGAACCCTACAATATCCTCTCATACCTCCCTTACAAAGGTACTGAACCCTACAATATCCTCTCATACCTCCCTCACAAAGGTACTGAACCCTACAATATACTCTCATACCTCCCTCACAAAGGTACTGAACCCTACAATATCCTCTCATACCTCCCTCACAAGGTACTGAACCGTACAATATCCTCTCATACCTCCCTCACAAAGGTACTGAACCCTACAATATCCTCTCATACCTCCCTCACAAAGGTACTGAACCCTACAATATCCTCTCATACTTCCCTCACAAAGGTACTGAACCCTACAATATCCTCTCACACCTCCCTCACAAAGGTACTGAACCCTACAATATCCTCTCATCCCTTTCCCTCACAAAGGTACTGACCCCTACAATATCCTCTCATACCTCCCTCACAAAGGTACTAGAACCCTACAATATCCTCTCATACCTCCCTCACAAAGGTACTGATCCCTACAATATCCTCTCATACCTCCCTCACAAAGGTACTGAACCCTACAATATCCTCTCATACCTCCCTCACAAAGGTACTGAACCCTACAATATCCTCTCATACCTCCCTCACAAAGGTACTGAACCCTACAATATCCTCTCATACCTCCCTCACAAAGGTACTGAACCCTACAATATCCTCTCATACCTCCCTCACAAGGTACTGAACCGTACAATATCCTCTCATACCTCCCTCACAAAGGTACTGAACCCTACAATATACTCTCATACCTCCCTCACAAAGGTACTGACCCCTACAATATCCTCTCATACCTTCCTCACAAAGGTACTGACCCCTGCAATATCCTCTCATACCTCCCTCACAAAGGTACTTATCCCTACAATATCGTCTTATACCTCCCTCACAAAGGTACTGAACCCTACAATATCCTCTCATACCTCCCTCACAAAGATACTGTACCCTACAATATCCTCTCATACTTCCCTCACAAAGGTACTGAACCCTACAATATCCTCTCACACCTCCCTCACAAAGGTACTGAACCCTACAATATCCTCTCATACCTTCCTCACAAAGGTACTGACCCCTACAATATCCTCTCATACCTCCCTCACAAAGGTACTGATCCCTACAATATCGTCTCATACCTCCCTCACAAAGGTACTGAACCCTACAATATCCTCTCATACCTCCCTCACAAAGGTACTGACCCCTACAATATCCTCTCAAAACCTTCCTCACAAAGGTACTGATCCCTACAATATCCTCTAAATACCTCCCTCACAAAGGTACTGACCCCTACAATATCCTCTCATACCTTCCTCACAAAGGTACTGATCCCTACAATATCCTCTCATACCTCCCTCACAAAGGTACTGAACCCTACAATATCCTCTCATACCTCCCTCACAAAGGTACTGAGCCCTACAATATCCTCTCATACCTCCCTCACAAAGGTACTGAACCCTACAATACCCTCTCATACCTCCCTCACAAAGGTACTGACCCCTACAATATCCTCTCATACCTTCCTCACAAAGGTACTGATCCCTACAATATCCTCTCATACCTCCATCACAAAGGTACTGACCCCTACAATATCCTCTCATACCTTCCTCACAAAGGTACTGATCCCTGCAATATCCTCTCATACCTCCCTCACAAAGGTACTGACCCCTACAATATCCTCTCATACCTTCCTCACAAAGGTACTGATCCCTACAATATCCTCTCATACCTCCATCACAAAGGTACTGACCCCTACAATATCCTCTCATACCTTCCTCACAAAGGTACTGAACCCTACAATATCCTCTCATACCTCCCTCACAAAGGTACTGACCCCTACAATATCCTCTCATACCTTCCTCACAAAGGTACTGAACCCTACAATATCCTCTCATACCTCCCTCACAAAGGTACTGACCCCTACAATATCCTCTCATACCTCCCTCACAAAGGTACTGAACCCTACAATATCCTCTCATACCTCCCTCACAATGGTACTGAACCCTACAATATCCTCTCATACCTCCCTCAAAAAGGGTACTGAACCCTACAATATCCTCTCATACCTCCCTCACAAAGGTACTGACCCCTACAATATCCTCTCATACCTTCCTCACAAAGGTACTGAACCCTACAATATCCTCTCATACCTCCCTCACAAGGTACTGAACCGTACAATATCCTCTCATACCTCCCTCACAAAGGTACTGAACCCTAAAAATTTACTCTCATACCTCCCTCACAAAGGTACTGACCCCTACAATATCCTCTCATACCTTCCTCACAAAGGTACTGACCCCTGCAATATCCTCTCATACCTTCCTCACAAAGGTACTGATCCCTACAATATCCTCTCATACCTTCCTCACAAAGGTACTGAACCCTACAATATCCTCTCATACCTCCCTCACAAAGGTACTGACCCCTACAATATCCTCTCATACCTCCCTCACAAAGGTACTGAACCCTACAATATCCTCTCATACCTCCCTCACAAAGGTACTGAACCCTACAATATCCTCTCATACCTTCCTCACAGAGGTACTGACCCCTACAATATCCTCTCATACCTCCCTCACAAAGGTACTGATCCCTACAATATCCTCTCATACCTCCCTCACAAAGGTACTGACCCCTACAATATCCTCTCATACCTCCCTCACAAAGGTACTGACCCCTACAATATCCTCTCATACCTCCCTCACAAAGGTACTGACCCCTACAATATCCTCTCATACCTCCCTCACAAAGGTACTGACCCCTACAATATCCTCTCATACCTTCCTCACAAAGGTACTGACCCCTACAATATCCTCTCATACCTCCCTCACAAAGGTACTGACCCCTACAATATCCTCTCATACCTCCTTCACAAAGGTATTGACCCCTACAATATCCTCTCATACCTCCCTCACAAAGGTACTGACCCCTACAATATC